TGTGGCCAGCATGACCAAGCCGCTTCTGGCGAACCAGAGCAGCGCACGGAAACACCGTTTACCTTCCCGCCAGAGCGGTACCTATTTATCTACTTGAACTTTGACGTGCTTTCGAACTTCTAGGTTGGCAGGAGCAGGGACCGAGCAATGGGAGCTCACCCCGTTGCGGGGATTCAAACCGGCAAGCCCTAGGCTCTGTGGTTTAATGCACAGCGCCACCCGCGTCCCTTTTGCCTCTGATTAGGAACTTCGGAATTGTCCTGTTCTCCATGGGAAGGAGTTTTCTTGGCAGGGATATGGGAGTGGATTGCCGGCTCCTTCTCCAGATGGATCACGTTTAGTGAAAACTCTCCACTATGACCTGACCATTTGGGTGGCCCTGCACGGCATCATAGCTCATAGCTTCTCTGAGTTATTCAAGCCCCTTTGCCACAACAAGGCAGTGATCCATGAAGGATTGAATTATGGTGCTGGAGGAGACATAATAATAATAATAATAATAATAATAATAATAATAATAATTTTTATTTATACCCCGCCCTCCCCAGCCAGAGCTGGGCTCAGGGTGGCTATCACCAGTAAAATTAGAATAAAAACATAATATGGGTGGGGGGGCGAGACCCAATTTATAATACAGGTTAAAATGCAATTTAAAATGCAGCCTCATTTTAAAAGTAGCCCATAGATCAAAACCGTAAGGGGAGGGAAACATAAGGGTCAGACTGAGTCCAAACCAAAGGCCAGGTGGAACAGCTCTGTCTTGCAGGCCCTGCGGGAAGATGTCAAGTCCCACAGGGCCCTAGTCTCTTGTGACAGAGTGTTCCATCAAGTCGGGGCCAGTACTGAAAAGGCCCTGGCCATAGTTGAGAGTCCCATGGACTGCAAGAAGATCAAACCTATCCATTCTGAAGGAAATCAGCCCCAAGTGCTCACTGGAAGGACAGATGCTGAAGCTGAGGCTCCAAGACTTTGGCCACCTCATGAGAAGAGAAGACTCCCTGGAAAAGACCCTGATGTTGGGAAAGATGGAGGGCACAAGGAGAAGGGGATGACAGAGGATGAGATGGTTGGACAGTGTTCTCGAAGCTACCAGCATGAGTTTGACCAAACTGCAGGAGGAAGTGGAAGACAGGAGTGCCTGGCGTGCTCTGGTCCATGGGATCACGATGATTCGGACTAAACTACTAAACAACAACAACCATGGGAAGGACTTTAACTGGTTTCTTTTCTTTCTTTTACAGTACAACAGCACTGTTAAGTCAACAAACACAAAGCACTCCAGTTTTACAGTACAGTTGATGTAACATTCAAAAACCAAGTTCAAAACGCAAAACTTTCCACTCAGAATTTAAATTTGAAATGTTACTGAATGGTGTTGTTTTTTAAATAGCTGTTCGGGGTGGGGTGGGGGGGATATTTTCTTCTGGCTCTTCAGTTTATCCACAAATTAGTTAATCCCAGGCCTCTAATGGCTTCATTTGAAGTGTTACGGGGGACCAGGCAGAGGGCCTTCTAAGTAGTGGCGCCCGCCCTGTGGAACGCCCTCCCATCAGATGTCAAGGAAATAAACAACTACAGTGGTACCTCGGGTTAAGTACTTAATTCGGAGGTCTGTACCTGAAACTGTACTTAACCTGAAGCACCACTTTAGCTAATGGGGTCTCCTGCTGCTGCCGCGCCGCCGGAGCACGATTTCTGTTCTCATCCTGAAGCAAAGTTCTTAACCTGAAGCACAATTTCTGGGTTAGCGGAGTCTGTAACCTGAAGCATATGTAACCCGAGATACCACTGTATCTGCCTTTGAGAAGACATCTGAAGGCAGCCCTGTTTAGGGAAGATTTTAAATGTTTGGTGTTTTATTGTATTTTTAATATTTTGTTGGAAGCCACACAACAACAACAATAATTGATGATGATTTGGATCCCTGCATTCAAACTCAAGGGTCTACCATTGCCCTCTCTTATCTAAGCTATGTCTATTCAGAGCAGGGGGATTTGGATACACTGATACAACACATCACAAGCCTACCAGCCAGCAGCTTAACAGCCGAAATCTCTGGGCAGGACCAGGCATGTAGGAGCTGTTGTATCGGAAGCAAACACAAAATCTGCCCAAACAGTCCTTAGCGGCACATTTGCCATTTAACCAGAATTTGACACAGCGGTGGCACTGAATTGGTCATGGGCTCTGGGTCTAGAAGGGAGCCTGCATCATATCACAAGGTGCGTTTGACAAGACTGTGTGCCCATTTGCTGATCTCATTGGGTGCTGCGCAGGTGAGCCAAGGGGCACAGGGCAGACCCTGAACTTCTGCTTCTCATCTCAGCCACTCTGCAATCTCTTTATCCACCCTGAGCACACCTTTGACTCCCTCATCTTCAAAGGACCAGTTGCCTCCTAGCCAGTTTCAAGAAAAAGAGGTGCCGGAACTCACCATGAACATCTCCCTTGTTCTCTTATAATGGCAATGGCGCCAACCTGAGAAACTGCAGAAACTGGGGGGGGGGGGGAGCCCTGCTAGTCTCCTGCTATGAGTATATTAAATGTTTGTTGATGATGCTGATATTTGTGTTTTGAGCAACATGCTCCTCAGTTCATTTTTAGCATCCTCTTGGCCTTGGGGGTAGCGTCCTTCATCTTTTGCATACCTTCAAGCCAAGCTTTTGATATTGTGGTTTAAAAAAATCTCCCGAGCACTTTAGGGAGACTTGACCCTCTTCCCTTTGCATTTCTGCTTCCTTTTTTTTAAACACCCCCCCCCCCACCAGTGGCGAAGCTGCATGCTCCGCTACCAGGGGCGGAGAGCAGGCGTGGGTGTGGCTGGTGCTCCCGGGGGCATGGCGCTTATCCTGGGGGCGTGGTACGCCGCCCGAGAGGGCATGCCATGCGTTCTGGGGGCGTGACGCGCTGCTTGTGGGGGCGTGGCACCCAGCAAGCCCGGGGGATACGCAGCACGTGTCCGGGGGGGGGGGTATGCCGCGATGGCACCCTACTGGAATAGGGGTACCAGAGGCGGCCCGCTCCATAGGTGTCAACTTTCAGATTTGAAAATAAGGGATCAGCAGCCTTGAAAATAAGGGATCGGCAGCCTCACCTGCCCTGGGGACAGTCTATGGGATATCTAATTATCCGGGATAGCAGCGGGAAGCAGCGGGAATAAGGGAATTTCCCACAAAAAAAGGGAAGGTTGACAGCTATGGTCTGCTCCCTCCACACTCCGGTTCCTCCGCCAATGCGCCCCCCGCCCCCACTTTGGGGATGTTTCCTCTTTGAAGACAAATGTGACTGTCGGGTCCGTTTTATATACAGTGGTACCTCGGGTTACATACGCTTCAGGTTACATACGCTTCAGGTTACAGACTCCGCTAACCCAGAAATAGTGCTTCAGGTTAAGAACTTTGCTTCAGGATAAGAACAGAAATCGTGCTCCAGCGGCACAGCAGCAGCAGCGGGAGGCCCCATTAGCTAAAGTGGTGCTTCAGGTTAAGAACAGTTTCAGGTTAAGAACAGACCTCCGGAACAAATTAAGTACTTAAACCGAGGTACCACTGTACCTTTCTGTGAGATAGCAAAGGCTGAGAAACAGCACTATTTAACCTGGGGGGGGGAGAGAGAGGCAGGGGCATGTATGGAAATCTAAGAAACTCCACGTCACCACACAATGCTCATTGAACAGATGAAAAACTGGTGGTGTTCAGAACCGCCCCTCGAAGAAAGGGGAAACAGAGCTCTCCCCAAACCCAAGCAACCCAAGATGAATCGAAAAATAATAAAAGAAATGGGGGGGGGGGTCCCGGGGATCTTGTTGGGCATACCACAAATGCCCACGACTGCCACTGTGGAGACCCCAGGATTAGCTTACCCAATGAGCTTCATAGCTGCATGGGATATGAACCAGGGATTCCGCAATGCTAGTTCAAGACTTGGCAGAGCAGCAATAATAATAATAATAATAATAATAATAATAATAATAATAATGTTATTATTTATACCCCACCCATCTGGCTGGATTACCCCAGTCCCGCCAAAGGCTGTGTACACAGCTTTAAATCCCTTTCAAAACACATTCTTGCGCTTCAAGAATTTAGGGCACTGCTATTTACCTCTCACCGAGTTCAAATCCACAGCAACTCTTAACCACTCACAGTGCCCAGAATTCTTTGAGGGGAAATAATGTGCTTCGAATACGCTTTAAAGGTACAGTGCGGTCACAGGGCCTCCCCACACAAAAAAAAGTGCCAAGAGAGTATAAGCTCAGGCAAGTGAGTCAAGCTACTACAAGATAAAGCAAATACAACAACATTGTGACCACCTCACATGTAGCAGATCGTGGGATTAGAGTGATGGAAGTGTTTATGGAGGAGGGGGAGATACAGGTATCCCTCTTAGTTTCAAAGAAACACTTCCATTGAACTTTCGAAAAGTTCCCCCCTACCTTCAAGTTTTTAACCAGCCTCTCCTGTTATTGTAACAATCCTCTATCAATATTCAGGACAGAACACACCCACCCCATTAAAAAGAAGCAGCAGCAGCAATAAATAAATATTTCATTTATATAACTGCCCTGTGATCCTCGGATGAAGGGCGTTATAAAAATTTAATTACCGGTAATTAAATTAAATTAAATTAATAATAGTAATAATAATATGTTTGGAGCTCAGGGAAATTACTCTGGCATTGCATCCCTCTACGAGTTCAGCAGTTGCGAACTCTGAGGTTCAAGCTCTCCAGCTGGAAAAGGCTTTCAGATAACCCCTCTTCTCCTTTCCTGTCTCTCTATCCCTGCTTTTCATCCTGTTAATCAAACAACACGGCCGATGCAGTACGGAGAAGTGCTAGGCGCAGCTGTTTTGCTGCAAGCCACTTCCACAGCAATCGCTGTACAAAAGTTACCGTTCTTGCTTCCCTCCTGCATGGAGGTGGAGTTGCCGTGAATCGCTGGCCCTCTCCTGAGTCTAGAAACCAAGCCTCACCATCGCTTCCACCAACCACCCAGTTACCTCGGATGCCTTTGCAGATATAGAAGCAGCACGCAGAGAAAGGCTTCTTGCTGCCAACTCTCATCTCATCTTTCTCTCTCTCCTTCTGGTAGGGCAGGGAGTCAGTCAGCTTCTCAATATTCTCATAGGGGTTTTCCAAGATGGATTTGGGATTGTAGATGGCCCTGATCTTCAGGGAAGAGGAAGGCGAACCGTTATATACGGGGTTGTCCCATGCCTTATTCCCCAGAGTTTCCAGCTCGTGCTCTTCTCGGGCTTGGAAATGGCTCTCAGCTCGGTTGTTTAGGTGGGAAGAGCTCATGGCGAGGCAAAGCGAGCCGAAGTTCCTGTTTAGTTCAGTTGCTGGTTTGTTTGGAGGAACACAGAGGAGAAAAACTCTGTGTTTTTCAGGTCAGCAATAGGGAGAGCATAGGTTCTGTTCTGCTCTCAGCTGCTGAACAGCCTCCTTCTTTTATACCAATTCATTGGGTGACAGGTACAGAATGGAGGCAGAGACCATTGTTGGAACAAGCACAAGGTCTATTCTTCGGTGAGCAAAGCTACACCCAGGGGAGGATCTCTTCTTCGCTGTGAACAACAGCCATGAAAACCAGGATGATGTGGGGAGACAGAAGACGGCGAAGATATTGGCTGATTTGGCCTGGCTTCCAGGGAAGGAGGGAGGCAAGAAAAGGCCGGGTGTTCATTGGACACCTTGGGTTGCCGATAATGGTGAGTGACACCTGGCAGATCCCCAAATGTGCTGCTTTTTAAATAGAGCTGCGCCGGCAGAGCGTTTGAGGTCTGTAAATCAAAACGTCGGCTTGTTTTCTGAGGCCGCTCTTTGAACTGGGGCCTTTCAGAACTCCTGCATTCAAAATGGCAAGCTGGGAACAGGATCTAATCAGCAACAGCGGCGGCCATATAAAATCCACACGCAGGCCAATTGTAGGATCAAGGGTGGCAGTTCCTGGGGGACAAGCCCTTTAGGGGGCCCCCAATATTTTGGGAGTGCGGGCTGGCCCCACCAATGTCCAAAAAGTACAGAGGCAAAGTGCAGAGCTTCTTGGGAGAAAAGCAATGACAAACCTAGACAGCATCTTAAAAAGCAGAGACATCACCTTGCCAACAAAGGCCCCTTTAGTCAAAGCTCTGGTTTTCCCAGTAGTGATGTATGGAAGTGAGAGCTGGACCATAAAGAAGGCTGATCGCCGAAGAATGGATGCTTTTGAATTATGGTGCTGGAGGAGACTCTTGAGAGTCCCATGGACTGCAAGAAGATCAAACCTATCCATTCTGAAGGAGATCAGCCCTGCGTGCTCACTGGAAGGACAGATCTGAAGCTGAGGCTCCAATACTTTGGCCACCTCATGAGAAGAGAAGACTCCCTGGAAAAGACCCTGATGTTGGGAAAGATGGAGGGCACAAGGAGAAGGGGGACGCAGAGGACGAGATGGTTGGACAGTGTTCTCGAAGCTACCAGCATGAGTTGGACCAAACTGCGGGAGGCAGTGGAAGACAGGAGTGCCTGGCGCGCTCTGGTCCATGGGGTCACGAAGAGTCGGACACAACTAAATGACTAAACAACAACAACAAAGCACGGAGCTGAGCACAGCATGGCTCCAGTAGCCAACTCCTTCCTCTCCTCCTCTTGCCTAGGAGGGGAAGGAGGGTCAAAGCAGATAGTGGCAGCACTAGGAGAGTGTCAGGGACTGGCTGGATGAGGAAGAGTGGTGGGAGCCCCCAGGGAGGGCCCTGAAGAAGATGACTTAGATCCCGGATCCTGAAGGTGGGACACCAAAGAGCACTCTGTGGATCAATCTGCACACAATGTGTATCGGAATATGTTCAAAGTAACTGAGCCAGTTATTAAATCATTTTAAGTTAATGTCTGGATCAGAGCTGAACAGGATGAGGGAGAAGAAATACTGCTAAACGCTGAGGTTCAGTTCTGTGTTAGGGTACGGTCTCAGCTATGCCAGTTTCAAAATTAAATTATACTGTACACTTCAAGGAAAGAGCGGTAGGAGAGCCAGTGTGGTGTAGTGGTTAAGAGCGGTAGTCTCGTAATCTGGAGAACCGGGTTCACGTCTCCGCTCCTCCACATGTAGCTGCTGGGTGACCTTGGGCCTAGTCACACTTCTCTGAAGTCTTTCAGCCTCACTCACCTCACAGAGTGTTTGTTGTGGGGGAGGAAGGGAAAGGAGAATGTTAGCCGCTTTGAGACTCCTTCGGGTAGTGATAAAGCGGGATATCAAATCCAAACTCTTCTTCTCTTCTTCTGCTGCTACGCTACTTTGCGAGCCAGCTGGCTCATGGCAGCAGAAGACTTTTGGGGTTCTGGATTTTGGCATCGAACAGGGCACCACTGAAATCTGAGGTGTCAAGGTCCGCCACCGGCCCACAAAAAGGTCTGCAAAAAGTCTGGTTTTCGTGGGTTTGTTGTGGAATCTGACTTTGCTGGTATGCCGTTGAATCCCACCCAAAATCAGTGATGGCGTGGAAATGGCTGCTGTCTTTGCCATTCTCTTAAGGTTTACGACGTAGAGAGCAAATGGTTTTGCTGAAGACTGAAGGCTGTCCAATACACATAACCGCCAGGTACATAGAGTCCTCTCTGCCTCCTTGCCTGTTATATTTGTGCCAAACTGGTTGGCACAATAACATTCCTCATGGTACCTCGGTTATCATGCCTATACTGGTAATTTCACCAATAGCTTAGATTCCAGATCCTGATAGTGCGGTACCCAAGAGCAGTCTGTTGAAGGGACGAGCTGGGAGGTGCTAGAAGCAGGGGGCTTGAGTGATTGGAGTGGGTGGGTGGGTCAGGAGTAGGAGAGTCTTCCAGGACAGGGTTAAAGGCTGAGAGTCATAGTATGAGAGCAAACTTAGACAGCATTGCTGTATTAAGAGGGCCACCACGATACATGGTGTGGGTGCTATTTTTCTAGAAAAGGAGGTGCCGGAATTCACCATGAATGCCTCCGTTGTTCTCTTATAGTGGCAATGGTACCCACCTGAGAGGTGCCGGAAATGAATTGCAGTGAGTTCTTGGGGGTGGGGGGAAGCCGGCTAATAATGATAATAATTATTTTATTATTTGTACCTCACCCATCTGACTGGGTTGCCCCAGCCACTCTGGGTGCCTTCCAGCATTTGTTGTTGTTGTTTAGTCGTTTAGTCGTGTCCGATTCTTCGTGACCCCATGGACCAGAGCACGCCAGGCACTCCTGTCTTCCACTGCCTCCCGCAGTTTGGTCCAACTCATGCTGGTAGCTTCGAGAACACTGTCCAACCATCTCGTCCTCTGGTCGTCCCCTTCTCCTTGTGCCCTCCATCTTTCCCAACATCAGGGTCTTTTCCAGGGAGTCTTCTCTTCTCATGAGGTGGCCAAAGTACTGGAGTCTCAGCTTCAGGATCTGTCCTTCCAGTGAGCACTCAGGGCTGATTTCCTTAAGAATGGATAAGTTTGATTTTTTGCAGTCCATGGGACTCTCAAGAGTCTCCTCCAGCACCATAATTCAAAAGCATCCATTCTTCGGCGATCAGCCTTCTTTATGGTCCAGCTCTCACTTCCATCCATCATCCATCATATACAAAAAAATAACTAAACATTAAAAACTTCCCTATACATGGCTGCCTTCAGATTTCATTTGAAGGTTGTATAGTTGCTCATCTCCTTGACATCTGATGTCAAGGAGTAGCCCAAGACATTTTGGCACCTGAGGCAAATCAGAAAATGACGCTTCCTTCCCTGTCAGGGAAGAAGGGGTGTTCCATCAGGAAGAAGGGGGGGGGGATAAAGATATACACTGAGATCTGCTGCCCTTGTGGATCCTGCCACCTAAGGCCATCACCTCACCTTGCCTCATGGGTGGGCTGGCCCTGTTCGGAGGGAACAAGGCTGCAAAAGTTGAACTTGAGTTATGACAGCAGTTTTCCTGCTCTGAAGGAACTTGTTTGAACGATCATGAGATTGCTTTGATCACCGTGGCAGAGTTTAGGAAGGAGCCCCTCACCCCTGCCCCCCCCGGCACCCACATTATTGTCTATACTTTGAGGTAGGCAGACCTTCTTATTCTTTGTAAGCTGTGGAATTAAACAGCGCACTTGTTAAAAAGGGGTGGGGAAAGGATAGCATCTCAGTCGGTGGCCACAAAGGAGAATTTCAAAACGCTGGCATTGATTTATTGGGCAAACAGTGAAAGCGCCGATGGGCCATTAGCTCAGGGCATAAAAGAAGATCTGCCTTACGTAAGGTATCACAAGACAGTTTTGTGCATTGCCTCCAAGAAATCCTTAGGGCTTAGTTAGGAAACCAATGAAAGGCTGGAATCCTGGCTACTTGCTTTCCAAACACCAAGAGGGACTGAGATGTAGCAATGGACATGAGAGGTAAAGGACCCCTGGATGGTTAAGTCCAGTCAGAGTCAACTATGGGGTGCAGCACTCATCTCCGCTTTCAGGCCAAGGAAGCCAGCGTTGGTCCACAGACAGCTTTTCCGGGTCATGTGCCCAAAATGACTAAACCCCTTCTGGTGCAATGGGACACCGTGATGGAAGCCAGAGCGCATGGAAATTCCATTTACCTTCCTGCTACAGTGGTACCTATTTATCTACTCGTGCTGGTATGCTTTTGAACTGCTAGGTTGGCAGGAACTGGGAGAAAGCAATGGGAACTCATCCCCATCGAGTGGATTTGAACTGCTAACCTTCCGATTGGCAAGCCCAAGAGGCTCAGTGGTTTAGACCACAGTGCCACCCACGTACCAGACTGCACAAGAGAGGGGACGCCCAGCACATCCTAGCCACAGGAAGCAGCTTGTTCCTGGGGTGCTTGGAGATCTGGTTTATTTGCTGCAACAACAAGCAGCAAGAATACTTATTGCACAGTATTGGAAGACACAAGATCTACCCACCCTGGAAGAGTGGCAGATGAAGGTGATGGACTATATGGAATTGGCGGAAATGACTGGCAGAATCCGAGACCAGGGAGAAGAGTCGGTGGAAGAAGATTGGAAGAAATTTAAAGATTATTTGCAGAAATATTGTAAAATTAATGAATGTTAAAATGATGTTGGATTGAAAATAAGTGGTATTGGTAACAAGGTTAATAAGAATATGCAAATATGGATTGATAATGGATGAAAATACATAGTTATAATAGGTTAAGATATAGAGTTAAGATAAATGAAAGAGGGTAAGGATTTGCTGAATTGATTATGTAAATGGGAATACAAAAAGGGGAGGTGTGAGGAGGTCAAGGAAACAAGCAAATGAGCTTAAAGATATTGAAAAATGGATTTATTTTTTAAAAAATTTCTTAGCTATTTGTTTTTTGTACTTTGTATTTTCTTTTTCTTCTTCTTCTATGTATTTTCTGGTAATTCCTGTATTTTTCTTGTTATTTTTTTTCCTTCTCTCTTCTATGTTTTCTTTTTAGTTCGTC